AATGGTGTTTCCTCCATTTTCCTTCACTTGATAATCTGCTATTTCAGAAGTTATTTTTCCAGTATCTTAAAAAAAAAAAGAGTAAGCTTGAGTAAAGAACAAAGGAAATAGCTTTTCATTTCATTGGTTTGTATCAACGAATGGCTCTTCCTGCATTTAACACGTATGGTACCAAAAAGGTATAGTGACCTCTCCAGAAAGAAGTTCTGTGTGAGTAATGCTGTTTAAGCTAAATCTTCCATATTCACTTCAGGAAGCAGTTCTCTCCAATAGCAAAAGGAGCTGAATTCTGGGCATGCAAAAGCAGAACTCTGTTCTTTATTAAGCAGTGGAAACAAATGTTCCACAAGTTCATTTAATCTGTAATACCTGTATTCAAAGTAAATTAGAAAAACATTAATACATAATCCTTATTTTATAGCACAATATCATATATACTTACTCTGAAGTGTGCCCCACTAAGTTTAACTCTGCTTACACAAAGGATAACAGTGACATTCCAGCCTTAACAGATGCTAAATTCTTTTTTTATATATTTTATTGAAAATTTTAATTACAATAGTAAAAATAAATACAAACTAAACTCCGAAAAAGCAAAATTAAAAGTGCAAAGAAAAAAAAGATAAAGGAAAAAAGAAATATATAGAAAAGACAGGAAAAAAAGTTACGAAGAAGTGGCTTCTAATATTCTTAACAGCAGTCATAAATGCATTTATATTTACCCTCTCCCTCTAAGGGCACATCATAATTTCCTTCTTTCCATAATCTACCCTTTTCAATAATCAAATCCAAAAATCACAAGTTCATTTTTTTTTCAGGAAAAAGTCCATAAGGGGTGTTCAGTCACTAATAAATGTAGCAGCTGATCTTTCTCTAAGCAAACTTGTTAATTTTGCCAACTCTGCTAGTTCCATAATCATCTCCACCCATTACTCCATTGTGGGTATTTCAAAGTCTTTCCATTTTTGTGCATATAATAGTCTCACAGCAGTAATCATATATAAGAATATTCTTTCATGGCTCTTTTCTATTTGTCCATTAATCCCAGCAAAATAAAGATCTGGTTTTGGTTGAATATTAATTTTTAAAATTCGTTGTATCATTGTGTATATTTGAACCCAAAATTTTCTAGCTTTTTTACAAGTATACCAGGCATGATAAAATGACCCTAACAAATGCTAAATTCTAATGTCTGTTTCCACATATGTGAACACAGTGTTCACAAAGTGAACACAGAGTATTGACCAAACTATTTATTATTCAAAATTGCAAAGACTCACAATCCTAGAACTCAAGATAACAGTAAGGTGAAACAGCTTCCCCATTGCCACCATGGAGGTAGATACTATATGTAGAGATTTATTATAGGTACCTAAAGTGAATTTAGAGAAACCATTTGAAAAAGTTCAGACACAAGTTAAAGGAAAAGCAACAATCTAGATCTAGATTCTCTCTAGGCAGAGAGAATCAAAAACCTGGAAAAACCAGGCATCAGAACCAATCAGAAGCAGGAAGATTCCTCTCTCCCAGGCTTTTAAAAGGGGAGGGGGGCCAAATCTATTTTGTCTTTGCTTTGTGCTTTTCTCTCACAGGTGGAAGAAGCATTTATTTCTCAGTTGGCTCAAAGTCATGTAGGCAGTGTCCTAATTTCCACCAAGCTGGGACCTGGAAATCCAGGAAACATGAAGCAATTTAGGAACAACTAGAAGCTTCATGCAAATTAGAATATTTAGGCTTTGGAACAAGGACTGAATTGTGGTATTTTTCTTCTACTCTGGTGTTTTTGTTTTTGAGGTACATGTATCCACTGAGGTAAGTCCTGTAGATGTCAGCTGTTATTTCCCTTTACCCTTTGGCTTTCAACTACCATTTAGATCTTTACCCTTGATGCACATAATAAGAATTGGCATTTTCTTGCTGAATTGGCCCTCTCATTCTGAAATGATTTTAACTTAAAACACATAATCAGTTAAACGCCAGAAAAGAAAGGAAAGCAGAGGTGGGAGGTTAGCCATTTTCCTCCTCCTGAGTAAACTAGTGCAGAGAGAGCCTTTTTCTGGAATAAAATAGACGGTAGCCATATTTATTAAGTAGTCTCGTCCTCAGAATTTGTGGGAAGATGCAGGAGAATTGTAGATGGGAGTATTTACAAACCCCTCATGGAAGCCAAGGGGCCTAGTCTTTGTAAAAGCATGTGTAATTGTACCACACATTGCTTTATGGCTCCACCACAGTGACCCTCAAATCCCACTTAATAAAGCCATTCCAGTAGGATACCACGATCAGTGGTATCAAAGGTACTGAGAGATTCAGGAGGCTCTCCCTATTTAATTTCCCCAGAGAAGACCATTCATGTTTTGTTTTGATCCCAAATCCAGGTCTGAAATCCAACCAAAACAGGTTTAGATAATGTTTTCATTCATCTGAAGCTATAACCCACTATTCTTTTTTTAATAGTAATTTTATTTAAAATTACAATTGCAAATATAAAAACTAATACAAACTAAAAAAAATAAAAGAATAAAAAGAAAAAATAGAAGGTGCAGAAAAAAATAGAAAAAAGAAAAGAACATAGTAAAGAAAAAGAAAATATATGACTTCCCCCTTTATCACAAGTATAAACTATTTTAGTAACTTACACCTTCTCTTAAAATACAACAAATAATCTCTTCTTCCCATATGCCATCTCTTATCTATAAACAAATCCTTAAAGACTTGTCATTTCAGTCCTGATCAGCAAAAATCCATTAAGGATTACCAGAGATAACATATCTATTTTAACCTTGATCAAGTAAACCAACTTTATATTCCTTCCTTTTACTTTTAACAATCTTGATCTTTAGTTCCTTCAAATAATGTCTTAGAACTTGA